GTGATTTTTAAGGTGGAACTGCTTTATTCAGTGTGTTTAGTGGTTTTAATCAGCAGGTCTGTTTGTTTTGGAGAGGAGGAGACCTCTGTGGATAACTGGGCTCCCCGTAGAAACCACCTGAACTACTACTACAACCAAATCATTGATTACATTTTTTCAAATTCTTATAATCTCTCCATGTACCCCTTGGCAACAGCAGAAGTACCCACTGGGGTACAAGTTCCCATGGTTGGGAATCACTGTGTTAAACAAGCTGTCATGTTGAATGTAAAGGCCTCATTATACTTCAAACAAAGTAATCGTCAAATCATCAACAGAAACAGCTGTACACTTTTGTCTTTAGATGATGTGGGACAACATTTCGTACAACCTTGTTCATTTAAAGCATATTGAGACCTTAGTAGTTATTGTTGAGGAATCAAATGTAGAAAGACGGATTACACAAGTGGCACAAACTGGAGCATTAGAGCATTTGATAAGAAACCAGAAATACACAGGAACATAAAAGACAATGGGACACAGCTATGACAAACGGGACAACCTCGGGGAAGGAACAGCAGCTTCAGTAAGACCCCACCCCCTCAGCCAACAGACACACCCACACCACATCTCTACCTCAGCTTCATCTGCAAACAAGCCAGAACGAAACGACACCCTAAAACCTACCTGTCAAGTACTGAACGTGACAGTTGAAGCTAACTGTACGAATTATCTCTCGATGAGAAAATAAAAAACAATCAAACCACAACAATAATAAAAGAGTAACTGTAAGATCAATGCAGAATACCGCCAATTGCTTCTGTTTGTCAAAGATGTCACACACCCTCACTCTCGTCATATCCATGGGCAGAGTGACTGTAATGTTTAGTGTCATTCCAGGAAGTCACCGTGCTAAATGTCACAGCATTTTGTCACATTACTTTCTTTTACACTTGAAATTATTCCTTTGAAGACTAAAAAAAGAAAAAACTAACACCATATATGGCCATGACAACCACCTCCATCCCAGCTCTGACATATACATGTGGAATCAACTGACCCACCAATGGTTCCTGCAGGGGGTTTGGTTAAAGAATGCCTCGGTTACTGCTCCCAGCAAGTACTACAGTCTATCTTTGCATGGAGATCTTTCTCCTGCGTGTGATCTCATAACTGGGCCTGGTCACACCAGCATTAATAACAGCAACATTTTGAGCCGAAACCAATTTATTTCAGTGGAATCACTGTGAATTAAATGTACACAAAGCTTTTCCTTAGTTTAACTTTGTTGATTCTTTTTGATGCAATCATTTGTGCCATCGAGAAATCGCATGCCATCTTCTGACTTTTGAGGGAACAAAGTGGAGGAGGCTATCATGTTAGCTGTGTTGTACCATCCACTTTTATATATGAGACATGGTTAACAGACAAGAGTCGATGGTACATTGGAGGTTGTGTCTTGAGGGAACAAGCTAGCTGGCTTGTTTGCTCACAGGCCCCAGCAGCTTGCCAACTAGCCCCACAAGTAGTCGCTATGCTACCTAGCTTGTTAAATGAGAGTGCAAAATAAATTTTGCTTTGCCAACTTCTGACCAGTATGCTTCATGGTGGAATTAAGGGATTGCAATTTACGATTTATGTACCCCCACCCCTTTTTGCCTTTGTCAACTTCCTCCTTTCCTGTACTTAGATATGCTATGTGCTAGGCTAGGCTACTTTGAAAAGACAATTCAAGAATGGTTAAAAGATAAAAGTGACCTATATATCTGAAAGCTAGTGCTAGCAATACTCTAGCAAACTAATTATATAAATTACAAGCCTAACACATAGCATATCTAAGTACAGTAAAAGAGGAAGCTGAGGGGTGGGACTCAGGAAGGGTCAATTAGCTACGTGTGAGGGGTTTTGAAAGCAAGCTCTCTTTTTTTGTTCACACAACTACTTCTGTTGTCTGTATATACAGCTCCTCCTAGTATGCTAGAAGTATTGAGACTGCAAAGGTGTGCTCAGATAGAACGCAAGGTGAACTTCACAGCTGGTGCAAATGCGTGTAAAGTCGATATAAAGACTTAAATGGGCATGAACAGACACAAATTCATCCAACTGAGGCGAAGACACGTCTGGTAGTAGTGTCGCAGAAAAGGTTTCCACTCGAGCAAAAAATCTCAGAGACGGTGGAATATGAAGAGAGACTTGAGAGAAATAACAAAAGAAGTTCAATCAGAGGCTGAGTTGAACACATACACGCACGGTCGGAGAGTCCATTTCTAGCTAGCTTACAGCTAACATCACATCAGTTGGTACACTGGTTGTTTGCTTGCCAAATTCCATTGAATTGATCAGAAAATTCCCTTTCTGTCTAAACACACCTTAAGACAGTGAGAGTGGAAGCAAGGGAAGAGGAGGCTTTCTTCAATAAATGGAAAAGATGACTCACTGTTACTGCTATTGAGGAACATTTCCTACTGTGTACAGAGCATTTAGAGTGTGTGACTGAGGCACACTGCACCTGTGTGTGCAGGTAAATACGTTTACGCTGGGGCGAGGTGTGGGGATTGCCATAAGATGAGATCAGCAAAGACAGCCTGAGGAGGAAGGTGTTTAGCCAAAAGGCTTGAATCTCTTTAACCCCCTGCCACCCCACGACAGTGTGTGTGTGTGTGTGTGTGTGTGTGTGTGTGTGTGTGAGTGTGAAGATAAGCTCACCGATATTTAAATCTAATCTTCCACTGCCTCCATTCCACTCTAAATCAATATCAATCTTCCCCCGGATCTGTTTTCTTTCTGTCCTCTTGGCAGAAAGTAAAAGTTGCCTCGGTGTCCATTTCTGTCTCTCCCTCACAGACTGGTTGCCTTCCTCTCTCTGTGGTCTGCTGGGTGTGCAGGCCTGAATTAACTCTTTCCGGATGTTAACACTAACAGTTTACTCCTCTGTCTGGCCAACCGTCGCCGGATCTCCAGGCAGGCTGATAGAGGGGAGTCAGTTGTGGGTTACAGGGTGTTATGGAGGAATGGCGTGGTCTGGGAGTGGCAGAGATGACAGAAGGGAACACAAAAGGGGAAGAAAGTGGAGATGGTTGTGAAGGTGGTGGGGGGCGAGGGGTCCTCTAACAGCAGCCCCCACCGGACTGCCTCACGGGGGTGCTCTCGATTTTTAAGTTGGGCTTGTCACCGCCGGCCGTGGCCCCGGGGCCCATGCGCTTCTTGATCTCCGCGGCCATGGTCATGAAGGCCTGCTCTACATTGGTGGCGTTCTTGGCGCTCGTTTCCAGGAAGGGGATGGCCAAAGAGTCGGCGAACTCCTGCCAGGAAAGGAGGAGGAAGCTCAGAGTGAAACATACAGAGAGCTAACACTGGTTGTAGAGTTCTGGCATTCTATAGACCAAAAGATCATATATCAGGAACATCAAAATAACAGATACTCATAGCTGTTATTATGATGTTATTTTATATACTCTGTTTACGCTTTAAGGAGAATATATAAAAATTTTATATTCTATATTTTCCTATTGTCAACAAATCACATGAAGTCTAGTGCACCATAGCACCCATTTGTTGTGGTCTGAGTTCTGGGGTGTGACATCTAGTAAAACACAATAATTAACTGGTGAATGAAAAAAGCATATCTGTTGAAAAGGGAATGTGTTAGTTACAGACAGATACCTTGGCTGTTGTGTAGTCTACTACTTTCTTAGTGGTCAGGTCACACTTGTTGCCCACCAGAAGCTTATTGACATTTTCACTGGCGTAGCGGTCGATTTCCTGAAGCCACTGCTTGATGTTGTTGTAGGACTCCTGCACAACGACAACAAGAACAGCTGCATGATAAGCTGGAGATAACTGTGGGTCAGTTTACAGGCTTTTTACCACCTCTGTGACTGGGCAGTGAGAGCACAATTCCTCTGAAATACATTGAAATAGCAGAATATTATTAACCTGCCTACTTATCCCTTCAGTAAATACTGAATACTCTTTTTTAAAGTTTCTAAGGTTCACTACTTGTTAAGACTGTATATATGAGGAGGGATAATGTTTAAATAGGAATTATCAGGTGTTCTTGTTGTTTTGTCCCAATTATTAATTCTAATAAGATCATTACTTCTACTCACTAATTATCCTAATTCAAAAGGTTAAGGTGTAAGGTTTGAAAAGCGTTTATTTGTTTTGCCTTTGGTTTATTTATACCATTTCACAACTTTCTAAAATGAATATACTGCTAATTAATGAATTATGTATGAACAGAACTGTACATGGCAAAGTCATACAAAGGCAAAAAGCTATCATAAAGTACTGGACTGATTTTCAGCTCTGAGGAATCAGTACAGACTGCTGACGCACCTGATCTGTCACATCATATACAACTATGATGCCGTGGGCTCCACGGTAATAACTGGAGGTGATGGTACGGAACCTCTCCTGACCTGCAGTGTCCCACTGAGAGAGAGAGAGAGAGGATATGACAGCAAGGGAGAAAAGATTAGAAATCCATATAACAACCGTTGGGGACTGGAGTGGTTTGCACCAAAGTTTGTAATAGATTATCACAGAACTCCTTTGACTGTGCTCACTACTGTTATTCTATTATATTTCAAGAATAATCTGAATAAATATGTGACAATCGAAGGATCTTGTGTATTGTTTGTTTGACATTGAGCAGCAGTAGGGGATAAAGCCATGAGGAAATGGATCAATAAGTAGGAAGTAGGATGTACAATATATAAAGTGCATTTAACTTGGAAGCATTTATTTTGATGGATTCAGCTTATTTCTATTCATTATGGAT